AGAACCAAGATGCATTATGTAAAGGTACAATTCCCAATGAGAAATGTAATTGTGTTGTATACCTCAAATGTACCAATAAAAGAATTTAATTTAAAAAAAAAAAAAAAGAACGAAACAACACCCAGGTCCCTCAGACACCAGTCTGTGCTGTACGGCACTACTTTTATCCACTGTTCTGCTGCATGCCCAGGAGGGCTAAGGCAGACCCAATCGTTCTAGGTTGACATAACGTTTGTGCAAGGTCAGCTGGGCTGATCTCCAACCACATCACCGGAACGCTGCTAAAATCACAATAGATGTGCTTAGACCACATTACGTAATAGTCAATATGCTGAGAAGCAAGACTGTCCCTCAACCCAAGTCATTCAGAATTCTTAGTCTGGGCTTTCACAATTGGCTCCCTCTGTCAGACTCAGACAAGGCTCTATTTTGAATTCTAATGAGGATCAGGCACACTGAATATTTAAACTGCAATTACAAAGATCCCACTTTTATGTAAATGTCCTTAATATAAGAAACAGATTCGAAAATACATCCAGGTACCAGAGGAACATATCAGTTTAATTTGCCTTTAGAATCTAGAAAACCCCCCCTGATATTGTTTTCTACTTGATGCTATCATTGGGGTGCAACTGGGAGAAGAAAAGGGAGATGAAAACACACACACACAAAGATCTCAGTAAAAATTTTAAAGCCCAGACTCTGGAGTGAAAGGTCCACAAAGAGGTGCTTGAATCCTTTGTTAGCAACTGAACAAACAAATTCATCATCGGGCCCTTCTCCTGTGTGGCCCCCTTGCAATTCGGTCTGTATTTATAACTAGAAATTCGCTCACTGCTCAAGCATCTATGACTGATATGTCAGACCATCAAGAAAGATCTGGGTAGGCCAGGGAAACAAAAGGCCATTTCATGGTTCACAACCTATTTCTGCACGCTTTTGAGGAGAATGATGATGCGTGCTGGCTGCTATCTGCCCCTCACTCAGGTCCTCATAGTTACGAGTAACACAGGGCCATGTGAGCAAACAGTAATCAAGTTACACTTGACAGAGTTATTCCCCTTCCTCTAGTTCAAACATACTTTGCCTATATTTTCATGTATATATGTGTATTTGTTTACATATAAAACAATTGATCGAGCCTTGCATTTGAGAAAGTCAGGTGATTATTTTTTATTATGTTTTGAGGCTCCTGAACCAACCCTATGCCCCTCAAATGCTTCTACTTTTCAGATAGTAATTTAACTTCCAAGGCGTTCTGGATGACCTCCTCTAAATGCTAGCATATATGAAAAGGGAATATGACTGATTTTTTTTCTGATTTTTCGTCTGATTGAGTCTTCCTTTTTCAGTACCAAGTGTATTCCATTTTGAGTTTTCAGGGTTCTTGGTTTTTTGGTTTATTTAAACAGCGCCAGGAATCAAACCCAGGGCCTTTCACATGCTAGGTAAAAGCTCTACCACTAAGCTATATCCCCTTCCCCAAGTTTCAGTTATTTTTAATTTCTAGAAGTTCTATCTGGTCTCTTTTAAAACTTTCTGTGTTGTTTATAGTTTCTTCTATTAAGATGCTTTCAAGCTGACGTGTTTTAAATTCAAAAAGTAGCACTGATTTTATAACAGATTTTAAAATTTGTTTTTTTGTTTTTGTTTTTTGAGACAAGGTTTCACTATGTAGTTCAGACTGGCCTCGAACTCACTATGTAGCCTAGGCTGGCCTCAAACTCGTGATGATCCTCCTGCTTCAGCCTCCCAAGTGCTAGGATTACAGGCATGCTCCACCATGCCCGGCTTTCGCATCTGCCAATTCTAATACTGTGAGCCTGCACGGACTGGTTTCCATGATCTACTGCCAGTCCATGCTCATACTACATTGTTTGCATGTATACTAGCTTATCTTTAACTGCCTGCTGATCACTGCCCTTGAAGTATAATTTGGTTATCTCCAGAGACCTAGGATAAATATACTTTCCTCTAGAGAAGCATTCCATTGTTTTTGATATGTAACTAGAACTGAAACAGGTGAGTCTGTCTCAAACCAAATTTAAGGTTTGAGGTTTCCTGGGTTACCCTGATATATACAAGTATGTCCCGAACAGAAATGCACATGAAGGGCTTTCTGTGACCCCAGCTTACCAGGAACCGTATTGTTGTTTCCTTTCTTTTTCCTCCTTTGGACTCCAGTTTAATGTGGGAGGGTCTCTCGTTATACTTTCTAGTTAGAGTGGGCCTAAATTTTACTTGCCTGCTCCTCCTAGACTACGGAAGACCCTGACTTTTGCCTGTGAATAGGGTTTACCAGACACTAGGTATTAAAAAATCAGCAACAGTACAAGAAACATTCTGCATTCATTATGTCTTCAAGAATATGTGCTGAAGGCTGAAAATACAAAACATATCAACACATCTATGAATATATTCATTTCAAATGACAAGATGACTGATTAGAAGATAAGCAAATTGAGAAGGCTGAATTGTGAACTCTTCCTTTGTATATAATGATAATAGCTAAAACTTGCTCAGTGCATACAATATACCAAATATTAAGTGCAAAATAGTATATATATATACATATATGTGTATGTATATATGTATAACTATATATCTATATATCTACATCTATATATGTGCATGTTTTAGCAATTTTAATGCTGCATCAAGTGGTACTGCCTTTTTAGAAGGGCAACCAAATTCCTGTGGTAATTAGACAAATATAGGAAACTTAAAGTAGAGTAAATCTTCAAGGGATTAAAAAAGCAGAGCCATAATGACTACCATCTCTTACCACACGAAGTTGACTTTCTGTCTACCAAGTTCACACGCCTAGTTTCAGTGTGAAGCTTTTCATTTGTGTTCTCTACGAGGTTGGCAAGGTCATCAATTATCTCTGGAAAGGAAAGGAAAGATGTATGATTAATATTCCCCAAATGCCCAGCTTGTATTACAGTTCCATAGCTGTGGTAGTAATGTCTCAAGTGCAGTGACTGAAAAGATACAGAATTCATGTATAGTCTCTGAAAACTAGAAGTCTGACTTTAAAAGGCAAAATCAAAACCAAATATTATTAAAGAAAAAAAAATTGGCTGGACATAATTCTAGCCCACAGAAATGTCAGCAACTTAGAGAAAGAAAGCACAGCCCAACAAATTTATGCTCAGCCAAGTTGTCATTCAAGTATAAGGTGACTGATAGACAGTACAAAAGACTTCCGCACTTCTTGAAAAAAACCACTTGATGATAAAACTAGCCAAGCAAGAGATGAATAAAAATAAAGAACTCTAATGAAGAAGCCAGAGACCATGACATAAGAGATGATGGTTAGAACTGAATCCATTTAAAAACTGAACTGAGAATAAGCAAATATATGCATGACAGGAAGGTATATAAATGTTACAAACCACATGTGACATATAATTGCAACTGAAAAATTAGGAAGCAATTGGGAGGAGGAAGGAAGATGAAAAGCAGTTGAAAGCACTAATTTCTCCATCCCTCACAGCAAGACATATCAAGCTGTTGAAAAGTTAAACATACAGAAATGTATAGCTTTTAAAATCACCAAAAATTCAATGTTTTATGTCATTTTTGACGAACCTTTAGTAATTACCATCTTTCAGTAATTATTATCTCTTGTAAAGATCCTTTTTGTGAAGTTCATCTATTGTATGGTGATCTTTTTAAAGTGATAGTAACACATTTAAATTTATTCTAAATGACAACACTTAAAACAGCACATATATTACAATCTTAATTATGTGAAATTATTTCTAACCATTATTTTATATTTATACACCCACAGAAATATATGTGGAAAATGGTAATCTAATGTTATTGAAGATTATTAATGGGTGGTAGGATTCTCTCAAACTATGAACCAAAATGAATCTTTCTTCCCTTTTTTTTTTTTTTTTTGGTACCAGCGATTGAACTCAGGACATTGAGCTTGCAAGGCAGGTGGCAGAACCACTGAGCTAAATCCCTGGATTAATCTTTTTTCCTTTTGAATTGTTTATCTCAGATATTTTTTCACAGTAACAGAAACATGAGTAACAAATTGTACATTATGGGGGATGTCTTACTTTCTTGTTTCTGGGACAAAATACCCAAAACTCACAAGTTTAAGGAGGAAAGGTTTATTTTAGCTCACAGTTTGTAGAGGTTTCAGTCCATAGTTGACTGGCTCCAAGGCAGAGCAGTATGGCAAAGGGGGATGACAGAGGAGAAACATTACATGGCACCCCAGGAAGTACCAGGTCCATCTTCCTTTCCCTTTTCAATTCATCCAGGCTATAAGCCTATTTGTTGGTGTCACTCATATCCAGGGAGAGTCTTCCTTTTTCAGTAAGTCCATCATCCATACCCAGAACTAGGCTAAACCAATCAGTGGACTAATCCAGTATCACACCCATAATCCAGTCACTCCCAAGAGCCCTGCCCATCAGTGCATGAGGTTGGGGGTGAGGGCATCTAGATATAAGCCATAAGAGGGAAAAAGGGCAAAAAGATTTGAAAAGATTTGCAGATAACATGAATCTATTTAACTATTAGAATAAATGAATTTCATAAATTTGTTGATACAAAATTAATATGTGAAAGGCAATGCAATCCTAAACATTAATAACTGAAAAGTGAAAATAACGCAATACTAAGTGTAACAGTGTAACAAATATATTAAATAATTTGGTATGTAACACCTTTAACACTGTAAACTGTAAAGCATTCTTGCAAAAAGTTAAAGAAGACCTAAATAAATGGAAAGCTAGACCATATTCATGGATTGGAAGACTCAGTAGATACCTATTCACTTTTCTCAAAAAGTATATAGATTCAAAGCAACCCCCCAACAAATAGGAGCAGGCTTTTGTAATGAAACTAGCCAGCCAGTTCTAAGATTCATATAGAAATAAGAATTTTAAATACCCAGAATAATCTTGATGAAGAAAAACAAAGTTGGACATATGAAATTCAAAATTCAAGATTATATATATAAACCTATAATAATTTAAAAACTATGGCATTAGAATATGACAAACAGATCAATGACAAAACAGAAAGTCCAGAGGTAGATATCTAAGTGTGTGGGCACACACATACACTCAGTTCTCAATAGCGTTATCAACCACAAAGTTGGGCCGGGGATTTAGCTCAGTGGCACCAAGCCTGACTCGCAAGTGCAAGGTCCTGAGTTTGATCCCTAGTACCAGAAAAACCAAACAAAAAAAGGAAAAACAAAACAACAAAGTCAATCAAATGGGGAAAGAAAGGCCTTTTCAATAAATGATTCTGGAAAACTGGATACCTATACATATGGGGAAGAAAAAGATGCTTCTCCCTCTATAGAGATCTAACTGTAAACCCTAGTACTATAAAGCTTTTAGAAAAAAAAATAGAAAACTAAAACAGGAGAAAATCTTTACAACCATTGTGGGCAAAAATTTCTTATAAAGTAAGGCTATACACAAAGGAATGGATCAGATATTATCAAAATAAAATTTGTAGGGCCCAGGATTTAGCTCAGTGGTTCCGCTGCCTGCTTTGCAAGCACAAGGTCCCGAGTTCGATTCCTGGTACCAAAATAAATAAATAAAATAAAATAAAATTTGTGCTCATCCAAAGATACTATTACAAAACTGATAAACAAGCCACAGTCTGGTAAATTAATATTTATAAGTCATATACTTGACAAAGTATTTATAAATCTAGGACACAAAAGAATCTCTACAGTTAATCTCTTAACAGTAAAAAAAGACAACCCAGTTTTTAAAAAGGCAAAAAACCAAAAAAAATCTGAATAGAGGTCTTGCAAAAGAAGATAGATAAATGGCCAACATAACTGTAAAAGGACATCAACATTATTAATCATTACAGAAAATACAAATTTAAATCACTATATGGTATTTCTTCACATGCACTAGATGCTAAAATTAAAGGCTAACAATGCTAATTGTTGGAGAAGTGGACACTGTACAAGTATTAATCAGTTCTAATCAAGTTAATCATATGTCTAGTCTCTATTCAAAACCTTCACAGCTAGACATTTACCAAACAGAAATAAAAACATAGTTTTTAAACTTTTTTTTTTTGGTACTGGGGATCGAACTCGGGTCCTTGAGCTTGCTAGGCAGGTGGCGAAACCACTGAGCTAAATCCCCGGCCCAAAACATAGTTTTTAAAAAGATCTGTACAATAATGTACACAGAAACCTCATTCAATAGAACCCTAAACTAAAAATAACCAAAATATCCATCATTAGGTAAATGGATAACTTGAGTATTTGTAAAATGAAATATTATTTAGCAACAAAAAGAATAATTATGAGTGCAACAACTATATAAATCTAAAAAGAATTGTTACCTAAAAGTAAAACTCAATATATATTTAATAATTTCATTTATGTGAAATACAAATTTAATTCATAGGACAGAAATTAAAAGTGGTTGCCTCTGGGAGTGTGTGGGATCGCTTCTCGGCCTTTTGGCTAAGATCAAGTGTAGTATTTGGGAGTGTGTGGGTGAAAAGATTGATCAGAAAGGGATACAGGAACTTTCCAGAATGACAGAAATGTTCAAAATGATCACACAAATACATAATTGAGAATGTAAGTCAGGAAAAATTAAAGGTGCATATGATTATGATACTCCTAAGAGTTTCTGGTAAACAAGAAGGAAGAAGGGAGGAAGAAAGAAAGGAGAAAGGGAGAAAGAAGGAAGAGAGAAAGGAAAAGATGAACAAATGTTGTAGAATAACAAAATTTTGGACTGGTGAGAAGTCAGGTAATCACTGCGTAGCTCCTTCCCTTTTTATACTATCCCTCATGGTGGGATGGTGTCTCACTGAACACTCCAGTGACTGGTCACATGGAAACTTGTGAGAAAGTCAGTTTTATGGCTAAAGTACAAGGTGGCTCTAATTATTATTAAGTTCTTTATAATAATCTGAAAATCTGTCTTCTTTTATTAACTCAATACCAGTGTTTTGTTTATATTCTCCTTTATCTCTTCTTGTAGGCTAAAGACAGCTCCACATATTAGCAAGTCTAAGAAAGTGGCTTCTAAATCTTGTGACATTTTGGGGTGGGGGGGGTACCAGAGATTGAACTCAGGACCTTGTGCTTGCAAGGCAGGCGGCAGAACCACTGAGCTAAATCCCTGGCCCAATCTTGTAACATTTTGATAATGTGGACACATATTCTTCCTAAAAAGTTATGGGAGGACTTGGATACCTATCATTTCAGTTCTTATCTGATATTTAGTAATATTTAAAAGTTGAGTATTTTTTTATCTGTCTCACACCCTATGGGGATATTCCATGGCAATATGAGTACATTGTTGTCATGCAACTGATTTCAGTCAGGATTTCATGACATGTTCTAATATTGCAATATATAATATAAAATTCAGGCTTAATGTATTCTAATATAGGAAAATCAAGTGCAAAATATTCCTTGTCTGAAAATAACTATGTCAGCTGTTATATGTTAATTGGGTTTCTAGATGGACTTCTTTTTAAATTTATAAATATTCACAAGTATGACAGCAGTAAATCAACACATTTGTAGCAGATTAGATTAGCAAAAATTATTAGTCAACACTGAAAGGGTTAAGATTTTAATCTATGCCAAATACAAAGCTTGCATTTTGGTTGATAAATCTCTCCTGATAAGTAGAATTTTTTTAAACAACTCTATTTTTATAAGGGCCAGGGATTTAGCTTGGTGGTTTCACTGCCTGCTGTGCAAGCTCAAGGCCCCGAGTTTGATCCCCGGAAGCAAAAAACAAACAAACAAAAAAAAATCTCTATTTTTTTAAGATCCAAAAATTAGAGAAAGAGCCAAACGGAGAAATGGAAGTACCCTACATGAGATTCTGCAAAACAGAAAAATCAGAG